TGAATAAAGACTTACTCTTAAATAACTAACTTATGACTGCAAACATTGTTCCAAAGATAAGTTGCATGTCATTTACCAACATACAGTAAGTCAAACTGTTTAATATACAATCCCTTTTGCTTCATTTCTTTACTCTTTGTCAGAGCAGTATGTCTTTGTTTGGCATAACTGTTGTGATTTTTAAGACTTGTTCCCTTCAATTCTCTGTGATAATGGAATCTATAATTATCTTGCAGGGATGCGTCTTCACTTTAGATAGTGGAGTTGGCCTCTCTGGAGTGCTGCTCTTTGTCTCATGCTGTTTTGAAAACTCACATAAGAAGCTGTTGATTTACAGATTTATTTTACAGATGACAAATGCTGCTGTGGCTATACAAACTCAACCTGCCTTGGTGGTACTGTTTGTGCACATGATTTATCCACTTCAGCTTTCAAGTTATATTACATTAAGAGTTCTTTTTATTTTGTCTACTACCTGCAACTGTACTGCGTATTAACATTTGCTGTGATCAACACAGCCCACAAAAAGACATCTCTCTTCTCCAAAATGACTAGGTAACTCACATGGACCTTTATTACAGCATTACCTCCTGTCAGTCTCCCTGCCAGATGTGCAGATACCTCAGGGGACCTAATTGCTTCAACTATAAGCAAAGCCTTCAAAGCCACACACAGAGAATTGACCTTCAACACCACAAAAATGTCTTCAGCTACACTTTTCTAGATAGAATAATAGAGTCTAAAATGTCTGGGGTGAATGACCTTTAAAACAGTTGTAAGGTTAGACAATTAAGGATAGAGGGTTAAAATGTGGCTGTGGTATGCAGGTTTCTGTGTGATTTTCACCCAAACATTGTTACTGTCTCTATAGCAGAAATCTTAGAACATAAACACAGCTCTAACCAATGCAGACATCAGCTAGTGCAGTAAATGCTTCCATCTAGTGTAAAAAAGACAAATTGGTCTCTAGTGAGTAATTTCATGTATTTACTCTTATTTTTAATTTGTTGGTTAACCCTATAAAGGTCCTGTAAAAATTCATTAGACCTACCATTTGTGTTTGTGTGTGTAAAATGCAACAAGTATATTCTTGTTTCAAGAGAAAGCAGACCTTTATTCTTGAAGTGGTTATGATACTGTTAGGTATTTTTAGTCAGATAGAAATTGGATAGATACTTTATGTATTAGAAATGTTTAGTGGAGATAGGATGTCTAGTTAGACTGTTAAATGCTTAGTCATGCTTATGAGTTTCTACAGGGTACATCTGGTCAAGGATACTAGAGAGAAGAGTTGATGACTGTCAGCAGACAGGATGTTTAATATTATTATTATGACCTGTATAACTGTAGCCTTAGCCATAATATGTTCTTATGTTTAATATCACGACATGTTACTAGAAGTCGTGTGAGAATGTTTTTAGTTACACACCACTTAATCAACAGACACACACACATTGATTTGCTTCATGTTTTGACTACTGCTATGGCCAGCTGTAAAGCTGGCAACAGAGACGTCTCGGTTGACGTTTCTGTGTAGTATGGGGCTAGCCCAACCGAGGGGATATAATGTATAGGCCTGGTGGGTTCAGGGGCTTTCATTTTACATCTGCCTGCGTGCAGTTTGGAGGTGCAAGATACCTGAGCGTACCTGTTAATTTTACCTGTGATCCTTTGAATAAATCAGCACTGTTTTGAAGTTACTTGGACTGCCTCGTCTCTCAGAGTTAGCAATGGTACAAGAACCAAAGACCAACAATACAGTATTGTAGCCTGATTGCTGGAGAGTGGAAAGACAGAAAAATTGCTAGAATTAAACTAGTATATAACAAGTAGAGTAATACAGGTCATAAAATTGTTAAATAGATTATAACCAAATTCTCCATTTAACAAAATTATGTAAATCGACTCATATGGAAGTGAGTCAAAGAAATGCGTAGCCACTTTCCTACATTAGCAGGGCTGCCGAGAGAGACTTCATTATGTTAGCATGTTGCGTGAGGAAGGTCACTATCTGGTGACCCGGATGTAGCCTGTGCTAATGGCGCAAGCTGGTCTGGTCACATGACGGCTGCCAGTGGCTGTCATCTGATTGAAATTATCACATTTCAGTTGGGCGAATTAATGTTTGAAAGTTCATACTTTTGGTAAAAACCCAATTTTTTAGTTGGAAGCGCAAGAAGTGAAGACAGAAGAGGACTGTGTAAAATCAACAAGAAATTTAATCAAAGTGTGGTCACAGGTGAAGTCATACAGCACTGGGATCAGAGAGACAGAGCTCACGCAGGAAATCTGTTCTCTGAGCCACGAGTTATGTTTTCTAGTTACATTTATCTTCTCAGGGTGAGTCCGCCCTGTACGGAGATACAACAAACCAGGTGTATGTGTCTGTGTGTGTTGTGATTTTCAGGCGGCAGCGACTCAATGAATGCTGAACAATTGGTTGTCTGCGCTGCAGACCCCCTATCTGTGTAGGCTATTACAGGACAAAGCAGGACCTAGTGAGTATGCTAAACGGGCCAGGTGGTCATCTCAGGTTGTAGGTCCCCTGTCTCTGCAAGATACTACATGACAAAGCAGAAATTGGAATATGCTAAGGTGAAGATGCAAAACAGGCCAACAGGTCTGTGTTAAAATGTAAACTAGGCCAGCTGGTTACATGAAGGTACAGACATCATGTCTCCACAAAAGTTGCAGCATACAGTTCCAAAGTTTCACTCAGCAGAATATGGCAGTCATCAAAACAGTTTTAATATATATAAGAAAGGAAAAATAAAGGTATGAAAAGTAACTAAAGGAAAATAAAGTTATGAAAAGTAACTAAAGCTTATAAAGTAACTAGAACCTATAAGATTCAAATCTTACAGTACCTGTAAGTCTGAAATTATTATCTAAATAACAGATTGTTTCTAGCTAGCCTTAGCTGGCTAATTAATGTTCCAGTAAATGTGCTTTTGTGGCTGTTGCGTTGTTGGTTTAAACTTTAAAAAATGTTTACCATCCATCATTAACTTTGGAAGAAAATAAATATGCTAATTGTTAGGTATTTTTAGTCAGATAGAAATTGGATAGATACTTTATGTATTAGAAATGTTTAGTGGAGATAGGATGTCTAGTTAGACTGTTAAATGCTTAGGCATGCTTATGAGTTTCTACAGGGTACATCTGGTCAAGGATAACTAGAGAGAAGAGTTGATGACTGTCAGCAGACAGGGTGTTTAATATTATTATTACGACGTGTATAACTGTAGCCTTAGCCATAATATGTTCTTATGTTTAAGTCACGACATGTACTAGAGGTCGTGAGAATGTTTTTAGCTACACACCACTTAATCAACAGACACACACACACACACATTGATTTGCTTCATGTTTTGACTACTGCTATGGCCAGCTGCAAAGCTGGTAACAGAGACGTCTCGGTTGACGTTTCTGTGTAGTATGGGGCTAGCCCAACCGAGGGGATATAATGTATAGGCCTGGTGGGTTCAGGGTCTTTCATCTTTCATCTGCCTGCGAGCAGGTTGGAGGTGCAAGATGCCTGAGCGTGTAATGTTAATTTTTGCCTGTGTTCATGGAATAAATCAGCACTGTTTTGAAGTTACTTGGACTGTCTCGTCTCTCAGAGTCAGTATGGTAAAAAGTACCGGGTACAACATAACTAAATGAATAAACTGATAGTTAGTATCAAGTAGATGAGTTGCTCAATATTTTAACAGGTTTCTAAAGACTAAATTTAACACACCGAAAATGTATATTTTGTAGTCTTAAAAAACTGTTGTCACCAGATTGGGGCTATACATGTTTTTATTCTGTAGTGTGTGATAGTTTATGGTGCAGCTGGATGTGTAATTGTTGCTCTCTTCTGCTTTATCAAGTTGTATTCTGTGGTTCAACCGTCTTGTTCTTCAGCTCAGTGGAAAGGAAACTCCATATATTCACTGCAGGGATTCAGTGGGTAATACGCCCTTGCACTGTGCAGCCTACAGGGGGCACAAGCAGTGCATTATAAAGCTGCTCAAGTGTGGTGCCAACCCCAGTATCAAAAACAACAACGGTATAATGCTTATTTTGTCCTTATTCTTCTGACTAAGTATGATGGGTTTCACAGTTTGTCTTTAAAGCATTTTAACATATGATTTATATGCATGCTAAAAGGTATATTCTGCTAATATTTGTCTTTCAGACCAGACACCTTTGGACCTGGTTCGCACCGATGAACTTAGACAGTTTCTAGCAGCCTATCAAGAAAAGGTTGGACCTGATGAGTAATTCTGAATTGTTGAATTTCCTTTGAATTATACAAATGTTTCTGACATGATTCATGCACATAATGCCAAGAAATGAGTGCATTGTACTTTGTAAATCTGATGTCTAACTAGAGCTGTCAAATCCAAACCAGCTCATAAATTTAATATTTGAGTCATGGTTCACAGTGATTTCTTTATTGCTGTGATTACTTTGGTGATTTGTTGGCTTCTCTTCTAGCACCACCACTGGGCTGAGATTCATCCAGGAAAACTGAAAATCTAATTTAACAGGTTTCTATGATATTTACTGAGCTCATAGAAGAAAGGATTAAACACTGCAATTTCAGGTGCTCTACGAGCTTAACAAGAAGAGATGATCAATGATGAAAATGGTGAAAGTGGCATGGCAGTGGGGAACCTAACACAAGCCCTTCAGGTAAGATTTAAAAACTAAATAAATTATTCCTAAAAAGGGTTGATTATGAAAATAATTAATAGTTAGCCTCAGCCATATTTGTGTCTTGTAAGTATGTTTGAGTTAACTGTGTGTCTGTCTGGCCCGTTCTCATCAACACGATTTCTCAGCAATGACTTGAGGAAATTTGTGAGGTGTCCACTTGGACTCAGGAATGAACTGATTAGATTTTGGTGGTCAAAATGAATTTGACCTGTTGGTCGAGGCACACTAATTCCATTGTATAATATTGTATACATTTAAGTTAATGCACATCTGCGTTTGTAATCTTCTTTTCAAAGCAATGACTGCTCCTCTTCTATTGAAAGCCAAAGACACCAGTGAGCTTTCCAGTGAAACTTGTGCTGCCCTCCAGCTGTGCCTTGAACTGCTGTCAAAACAAGAAGAGGTAGGGAAACATGTTCATCATCTTAATTAACCCTGTATCCGTATGTACAGGGTTGGGAAAACTAACGAGCACAATACAATACAGTTACGTTTCTACTATCATAATTCCTCACACATAATTCAATGCAGTTGAAGGGGTAAAACCTTTCCTGGGCGTTATATCAAATTTACAATATACTTAGTGTAGTTGGTTGAATAAATTTAATTTAAGGATTACAAATTCCACCCACCCTCCACTTCTGCCCCTCACTCACCCTCCCACTTTAGTGCATGTGTGTCCCTGTCCACCTGCGCTAGTGGCTGTGCACTTTGAAGGATGGAGGAATAGAAGAGTGTGGTAAACACTAGCATGTTTATAGGAAGGACACAGGCAAGATCTGCTATTATGCTTCGGTCTGCATTTAGCTCGCAGATCAGTGTAGACACGCACAGGTGTCCTAGGACTTGGATCCTAACGATCCCGCTCTAGGGACATGCTGCGCATTGAACAAAGGAACTCACGCATGTGCGTATTCACAGGCTCAGCTTGAGATGCATGCATTTCACCCTCACACAGGGACAATACACTCTCGCAGGCACACTTCCACATGCCAGCGCATCCGAGCACAAGAGAAAGAAGGGACACTGACGGCATGTTTCTCCAGGATCTGCAAAGGTACAAACCAACTATATGTTTGTATTATCTTCTATGCTTTGTGCTTTTTTTTTAATCTTCAGTTGAACAACTAGCTGTGTTTTCAGTGGGCTAGTCTGCCTTGGCATGAGATACAATGGAAATGTGTTATTAAGCATGCCAGAACTATTGGTCTCATGCAAAGCTGCTGTTACTACATATGGGGTAGGACTGGATAAGTCTGACTTCTTCCTACTCCATTCAAGCATGTACTAGGTATAAGCAAATTGATATTGGATTACCATTTGTAGGATATGTGTAAAATTATGTGTGTTGACATATCAACTGTCTTTACATGCTTGAAAGAATAAATCAAATCAAATCAAATCACATCATATACTAAATGCATTATATTTACAGGGCTGAGATTGACTGTATCAGGCAGCATTAACTCTAATCCCACATTCCCATTGTCCTGTCACAGATGCCTTTGCTGCTGTCACTTGGACATTTGTTTTCTACAGTACAAATAGACTATATGTCCTGCACATATAGTGAATTCACAATAAAGAAAAAAACTTGAATCTTGAACAGTTGTTTTTTTTTACTTGACTCTGTTTTGTTCCTGTGCGTTGTCTGTCTGGTGAACCTGTGATTGCAGGTGTGGAGCATAAAGTTAGAGCAAGAGGTAGAGCACGCCCCCCGCGCAGTCTTCCCCTCCATCGTCGGCCGCCCCAGACACCAGGTACCGACATCGGCACCGCTTGCGTGTGTGCGCGACATGTGACTGTATGTGACGTGTGTGTGTGTGTGTGTAGGGTGTGATGGTGGGCATGGGGCAGAAGGACAGCTACGTGGGAGACGAGGCCCAGAGCAAGAGAGGCATCCTGACCCTGAAGTACCCCATCAAGCACGGCATCGTCACCAACTGGGACGACATGGAGAAGGTGAGGACGCACGCGCACCTGCAGCTCGGACACAACACGGACTGAATTGAGGCTGGAGTTGTACGGAGGTACAGAAGTGTGAAATGCAGGACTTCTAGTATTAAGAGCTCTATTTCCCACTGCCATCAGACCCCTAAACAGCTGACAGGAGTTTATAATCAGGGATTACTTCATGCAACTGCACCTGACTGTTTACATTCTCAGTTTGCACATGTATATTTGCACATTCATTGCTGACTGTTGCACAAACAGCTGATGTAGCATATATTTGTTTTGTTTTATTATATTTTTACTTGCTGTTTTTTCAAATTGCCTTTTTTATATTATTATTTATCAAGTTTATATTTAGACTTTATACTGATTATATTGTGGACAGCAAAGGAAGAATTTCTTTGTGCAGGGAAACATGTTTCCTTACTGTGCATATGACAATAAACACTTTGATTTGACTGACTGATGCCCAGTTCCCCATTTTTGTTTCTAATTGCTGCTGAACTGCTCAATTTGTTTGTCAATTGTGTTAAGGTGGAAGGATTGGTGACCGTGTCCTAATGATGAGCCAACTGGCTGATACATGTCGATTCCTTCAAAATGAGCTTCAGTTGCTGATTGTTATAGATGCCTTAAAACTATTTGCTTGTGCATCTGGCCTCACTGTTATTAAAAATAACTGTGAGATAATGCTTATACAGGATTCTAATATTCACTCAGTATATGGCATAAAACAATTAACATATTTATTAATCAAGATAAGCAAATCTCAAGATGAACGAATTTCTCTCAACTTTACTCTAAAACTTGAAAAATCTAAATGTATTTATAATTGTTGGTTGCAAAGAGACCTTACACTCTTAGGTTGTGTTTTGCTGTCTAAAGGAGAAGGCTTATACAGGTATATCCAGCCTTACCTCTCTATTTCACTATAAATTACCTGTAAAACTTGCCAACTTCCATAAACAAGCCCTTGCCACATGCAAGATTGCTTTCGAGCACAATTTCTCTTCACAAAAATACATTCTTTGGAATAATCAGCATGTTAAGTACAAAAATAAGACAATTTTTATTATATTTAACTTATGAATGAAAGGGAGGAATTAGCTAGTTATGAAGAGTTTTCAATCATTCAATTATTATTTTTGGCAACGATATCACATAGCAAACGCTCATACATATATACAGTAGATGCATCAAGACTTCATGTCACCCGCCATCATATTGCCAGGGGCAGTCTGGCCATTCTAGCCAGATAATAGTGGAAAAAGCCAGGCTATTGTGCTGTGTTTGCTTGTTGTCACCTAAACAATGCCAGACACTTAGAGACAGACAACCACATGCACTCACAGTCACTCCTGAAAGCTGGTGCACCTAGAATGAACCCATGCACACTCACTCTTGTGGACAATTTAGAGTCACCAGTCAACCTAAACTGCATGTCTTTAGACTGTGGGAAGAAACTGGAGTACCCAGAGAGAACCCACGTATGCACATGGAGGACATGCAAACTCCACACAGAAAGGCACCAGGTCAGCCGTGGCTTGAACCTGGAACCTTCTTGCTGTGAAGCAACAGCGTTAATCATTATTCCACCATGCTGCCTGCCATTGCTGTCTTTTGTTGTGAATGTTACTATTTTAGAGGAGTATATCAGCTGCAACTCCAGCTGACATGTCATCTGGGGGTCTAGCAGATCCCAGACTTCTGGGCACAGGGAGGGTGGTTCCTCTGCAACCTATGCCCTCTGGTGTGCTGTTTCCTTTTCCACTGCCTCGGCTTTCATAGATTCTTCTTTCAGTTGTTTGACCAAAAGAATGTTAGACAAGCCCTCTATAGTTGAGCTGTCTTCTGGGCACAGGGAGGGTGGTTCCTCTGCAGTCCGTGTGGCAACCTGACCTCTTTTAAAGATTTTTTTTTGTACAAAGGACTTTGCCTTCTGATGTACAGGCTTTGATGCCTTTTGAAGCTTCAGTTTGGTTCGTTTGAGCTCTTTTAACACTGCCTGGCTTTTTATAGTCTCGTCTTTCAGTTGTTCGATTAACGTATTAGACAAGCACTCTCGGGCAGCATGGTGGCGCAGTGGTTAGCACCGTTTCACAGCAAGATGGCTCTGGGTTCGGGCCCCACCCGGGACCTTTCTGTGTGGAGTTTGCATGTTCTCCCCGTGCTTGCATGGATTCTCTCCGGGTACTCTGGCTTCCTCCTGCAGTCCAAAGACCTGCAGCTTAGGTTGATTGGTGTCTCTAAATTGCCCATAGGAGTGCGTGTGTGGTTGTTCGTTTATGTGTTAGCCCTGCAATGGATTGGCGACCTGTCCAGGGTGTACCCTGATTGCCGGCCGGGATTAGCTCCAGCCATATCACTAAATGATGCCTTTAAGTTGTCATTATTGTGATTCACTAAATCCAGATTGTGTTAAATAGTTTTCTTTTCTTTCTGTAAACTGGCTATCTCTTTATCTTGGGTTGCAATTATTTTCTGATTTGTATTTACAGTGGCTTCTAATTTAGGCACCAGAGCAGCCAGAGCAGCCTCTTTCTTGTGATTTTCGATTGTCTGAACATGACTTTTCAGTTCGTCTTCCAGCTGAATTTGATATTGCATCCCTAGTTGTTTTGTAGTCCTTATATCCTCTCTTTTATCGTCAAGTTCCTTCAGCTGGTCTTCTAGCATTTGGTTCAGTCTTTCCAGCTCTTCTTTTTGATATCTCAGCTGTGTGTCTTTTTCTTGGTTGATGGCCAGAATTTTCTCAAAATCTGCTTTAATATTTTTCTCTCAGCTGTGTAGATCAGATTCTTTCTCCAAACTTTTTCTAGTAATCATGGGTATAATTTATCTTTCCTCTCAGATCTGCCACAACCTTGCTGTGCTCAACTGCACTCATGTCTATTATACCCTGTAATTCAGAGTTTTCCATGATAAGCTTTTGTATATTGGCTTGGGAATCGTCTAATTGCTGTTTTAATTCTTCTTTGGCAGCTGCTAACTCTTGGTTTTGAGTCTGGAGAGACTTACAATCCTCCTGCCAGTATTTAGTGCATTTTTCAAATTGTGATTTGAGCGTGTTGATTTGCCACTTAAGGTATTTCGTGTTTTTTTCTTCCTTTTTTTTTTTACACACACTGGTATAAAATACAGTAGTATGTTACTTTAACTTGACAAAAAAACGTTTGCCCTTACAGTGCGATGCTAAGATATGAAGGTTTTATGAGGAAGTGATGTCGTCACATTCCGCTGATGACGTCAAGTGGCTTTGATGTCCCCTGACACCTGAGGCTCTAACACATGCGCAGCAGCTCATGGAGTAGTGTGGTTTGGTCACGTAACTAGTAACGTTTAGTGTGGGTTCGATTCCCAATAGAGCTGAGTGTTATTAAGCTCATCAATTAAATATTTGAAATGAAATCGCATTTGCCATCTAGCCTACTGAACACCCACTATTCAACATCTTTTAAGCTATGGGCTATTTAGACTTGTTTTCATCAAGAAGGTACAGCAGAGGATGTACTTCCTGCACCAGCTCAGGAAGTTCGACCTGCCCCAGGAGCTGCTGATACAGTTCTACAGAGGAATCATCGAGTCTGTTCTCTGCACCTCCATCACTGTCTAGTTTGGCTCAGCAACCAAACAGGACAAACTTCAGTGGACAGTCAGGACTGCAGAAAAGGGCATTGGTGTGAGCCTGCCTTCCATGGAGGACCTGTACACTGCACACTGCACGGGTCAAAAGGAGGGCGGAGAGGATCACTGCAGACCCCTCACACCCTAGACACAATCTGTTTGAACTCCTCCCCTATGGACGGCGTTACAGGTCACTGTGCACCAAGACAACCAGGCACAGGGACAGTTTCTTCCCCCAGGCTGTCACTCTGATGAACACTTGACCAACGACAGTATGATTGGACAATAACCCTCAGTGCAATACCTGTAAATATACATTGTACAGATTATACAGACTCCTACAGGTCTCTAGTTCTTAAGTACTTTGTTTTATCTCATTTCAATGAACATTCCTTTGTTGTCTGCATTGCTTACTGTCTGTTTATACTGCTTATTCTGCATTGTTTGCACTGTTTGTTGCTGTCAGTGTTGCTGTTAATACAGCTTATTTTGTTATATTACACAGCCTTATGCTGGTTTACTGTTTGCACATTGAGAGCCCATGTACCAGAGTCAAATTCCTCATATGCCCATCACACCTGGCTAATAAAGCTGATTCTGATTCTGATTTTAGGATAAAATATGATTGTATTAAGCTATAACCTACTACAATCAGACATGCCAAATAGGAAACATGGTCTTCGACATGAGTTCATGTTTATTTTATATTTTAATGTGTCAGCTTGAAACCATACAACCATGTAGTTGAACAGGAATGTGCATGGCGAATTAAATCCCAAACAATCCATGAACCAATAAATGACGATTGCACTTAATTTTATTGACCACTAGGTGTCCTATTCGAGCACCATGTCATTGAAGCCTCGAATAATAAACCATTTTTTGAATAAAGTGTTGAAGCTTCAGCAGAGCCTCAATCAGCCATCACTAGTTAGCATATTGCGTGAGGAAGGTCACTACCCGGTGACCCGGATGTAGCCTGTGCTAATGGCACAAGCCGGTTTGGTCACATGACGGCTGTCAGTGGCTGTCAGCTGGTTGAAATGATCACATTTCAGCTGTGCCAGTCTAAAGTCTGAAAGTTGGGCGAATTAATATTTGAAAGTTCGTACCTGTAAGTCTGAAATTGTTCTCTTTCTAGCTAACCTTAAATAACAGGTTGGCGTTAGCTAACTAATTAATGTTCCGGCAAATTTGCTTTTGTGGCCGTTGCGTTGTTGGTTTAAAACTTAAAAGATGTTTACCATCCACCATTAACTCTGAAAGAAAACAATTATGCTAACTAAATAAATAAACTGACAATTAGTACGAAGTAGACGAGTTGCTCAACATTTAAACTGGTTTCTAAAGACTAAATTTAACACAGAGAAAATAATAATAATAATAATTTATTTGTTTATATAGCGCTTTACAACACCGAAGGGAGCTCAAAGTGCTTCACAATAAAACAGATAAAACAAAGCCTGCCAAAATACATAACCAAACAAAAGAAAAGTTAACATTGCACAAATTTAAAACGATCTGTAAGAACTATAAAACTCCTGTAGAATAAAAATGAGTCAAAATACAGAGAGTAAGATTACGAAATATAAAATCAGGAAGGCCTGTAGGCCCTGTATAGCATCGCTGCTAAATATTAGATGCCAAAAGCCAGTCTGAATAAATATGCCTTTAATTTAGACTTAAAAAGCATTATCCAGATAAATAAACCAGATAAATGTATCTTTAGCAGCTTTGTTTGTCCCTGTCTAATAGCTTTGTGCAAAATATTTGGACAGGAATTTCACATTTATTAATGGGCCAGAGGAAGTCGAGGTGTGATGGAGGCAGACACACTTGAGGATCAACTTCTCCTTTTTGCTAAAGAGGGCAATTGTTCCCATGTTCAAAGGCTTCTTCAGTCCAGGATTGACCAAAACAGCTCTCTCAACATTAACTGCAGATGTAAGTTGGGGAAAATGCAATTATCTGCCGGATAGCATGACTTCAGGTAGACATGAGAGTGTTCATTTTGTTTTCTGTCACTGTAGCTAAGTCTGAAGACAGTCCAGGATGGACACCACTCCACCTGGCCTGTCACTTTGGACACACCGATGTTGTGGAGGAGTTACTCAAGGTGAGAGCCATAGACGCTCATGTTCATGTTGTCTGTTTATTATGATCAGTACATATTTACAGCCAGTGATAATCAACTATATGAAATGCATTTACAGGCAGGAGCTGATGTGAATTTGCAAAATAACATGGGTGACACACCTCTACACAGAGCATCCTACACTGGAAGAAAGGTAAACTGAGGGAAAATAGACTGGTCTCTGACCACTCATATACAGTAACATGATACTCTGTTGTAGAATGTGACATGCTTGATGTCAGCTGGAACCACTGTCACAGACCACCACTACATTTCTGCTTGTCCCCTATGAAACTTTTGAGTGATGACAAGTTTGGTCACATGATTATTATTTTTCTTTGGACCCGTAAGGAGATTGTTCTGCTGCTGCTGCGGTATGATGCCTGCGCCAGCATAATCAATGGAACAGCTCAAATCCCTAAAGATGTCACAGAGGATGATGAAATTGTTACAATGCTAGAGGGTATGAAATGATGGGAATACTTGCTGATGGCTTTCATTACTGAAATCACTGCACTTGTTCTGAAATAGTGTTTGTTTTTTGCAGCTGCAGAGAGGAGGGAGACCAGGCGACGGGAGGAGAAGCTTCTGGAAGCAGCCAGAGAAGGATACATCTCAACTCTGTCTGAATTGGTTAGCATCTGATCTTTTGTTGAACCTTGGCACAATATCTCTGCCATTTTGATTTGCTAACAATTAAAGTTGAATAATTCACATAATTAACCACGAACACAACAGCAGATGTTGCATTCATCTTTATCCACATTGCCATCATTATCATTTACAGGATGCGTTTGTGTAGTTTTCAGCTGTAAAATTATACATATTTGATAGAATAGCCAATGATCTGAAAGGTGTGAGACTCAGTCAAGAGGTAACACCTTGATGCCCAACACACAGTGTGTCCCAGTTGTCCTTTTAACCTGCTGTAACCTTTTGCAAACAAATGCAAAATACTTGCAGTCTTAAAAAACTGTTGTCACCAGATCGAGACAATATGTGTTTTTTTGTTCTGTAGTGTGTGATAGTTTATGGTGCAGCTGGATGTGTAATTGTTGCTCTCTTCTGCTTTATCAAGTTGTATTCTGTGGTTCAACCGTCTTGTTCTTCAGCTCAGTGGAAAGGAAACTCCATATATTCACTGCAGGGATTCAGTGGGTAATACGCCCTTGCACTGTGCAGCCTACAGGGGGCACAAGCAGTGCATTATAAAGCTGCTCAAGTGTGGTGCCAACCCCAGTATCAAAAACAGCAACGGTATAATGCTTATGTTGTCCTTATTCTTCTGACTAAGTATGATGGGTTTCACAGTTTGTCTTTAAAGCATTTTAACATATGATTTATATGCATGCTAAAAGGTATATTCTGCTAATATTTGTCTTTCAGACCAGACACCTTTGGACCTGGTCCGCACCGATGAACTTAGACAGTTTCTAGCAGCCTATCAAGAAAAGGTCGGACCTGATGAGTAATTCTGAATTGTGAATTCTTTTTGAATTATACAAATGTTTCTGACATGATTCATGCACATAATGCCAAGAAATGAGCGCATTGTACTTTGTAAATCTGATGTCTAACTAGAGCCGTCAAATCCAAACCAGCTCATAAATTTAATATTTGAGTCATGGGTCACAGTGATTTCTTTATTGCTGTGATTACTTTGGTGATTTGTTGGCTTCTCTTCTAGCACCACCACTGGGCTGAGATTCATCCAGGAAAACTGAAAATCTAGGTTTCTATGATATTTACTGAGCTCATAGAAGAAAGGATTAAACACTGCAATTTCAGGTGCTCTACGAGTTTATCAACTCAATTTTTGTAATGGTGCGTTCAGCCCCTTAATCACAGATTCAGTGTATGCATTTTACACTGTAGGCACACAACTACTTTTCAGAATTTTTGGTTTTGACATGTCACTGAACATGTTCACTTTAGGTTGGTTGCGGTAGAGGAAAAGCCTAGCAAGTCAGACGTCCTTGTGTTTGCTTGGGCATCTGAGCAGCCTGGCACACCTTTCAGTACAGAGCTTTGCAAGTTATCAGTGGAAACAACAACAGCCAAGTGTTAAGCTATCGTGTACTTTTAAAACATAATTTGGCTCTCTGATAGTGTGTAGGTTTTATTGTAAAAATTTAGTTTCTGGTCTCATGAAAAACTCAGCACTTGAATCAGGAACTGTTTTTACACAAGCCTGAATTATTTCTTCCCTCAAAGGATGTGGGCAGTGGTGTGCAGAAGATTGAAGGCGCTCTTTGGAAGGTACCCAGATGTCGAAGTATACGTTTGTCTACTATTAATATATCCGGTGGTGTTTTTGTTCAGACTCCTGGACTTTTGATGATATAGATTTTACTTTTATTCTGTTGTTATATCTAAAGAAATGGTTCCTTCAGGTTCTTTATTTTTCACCTTTTTATATTTTGTCTTAAAATATTATCTGTGAGTTCATTAATTTGAATATTGAAAACCTAGATCACTAGTATGATACATTTATATGATTTCCCTTTGCTACATACAGTAGTTGACTTCATGTGTCTCTGACAGAGTTCCCGCTTTCTTGGATGGCGGTCTCACTGGGTGGTAATTGAGGATGGAACTCTTTCCTGGTACCCCAGACAGTGAGATGAGTTTGTCATTATGAAGTTTTCTAAAACTGCAAATTAAAGTGTTTATGCATGCGTAGTATATTGTGTATATTGTACATATGCTGTTGCTGCTGGTAGAAGTTCATCTGTCTTTACCATTGTTAAAAAGCCATGTTTCACCAGTGTCATGCAATGAACACAGTGGTATAGTACTTAAAATAATTACCAGAGTACAGTGCCTCTGTACTACGGTAGATTGCTGTGTTTTATTTTATTCAGTGTGTAACTGGTTGTCTGTGTGCTCTCATTTATTTCATTTTCAAGGGCTGATGCAGTGGCTGGTATCAGAAAACAGGGCTGTAAGTCTCTGACAGACGCCTACTGCATGGTAGGTTTTACAGATGGAGCCACTGTAACAACCGTCATGACTAAACAAGGGTGCTCAGTCCTTACATATTTCAGGTCACATTCACCTTGTAACATGATGATACTTAATAGCTAGTGCAGCAGCGTAACCATAAGTGATTTCATGTTTGTCACTGCAGGTGAAACCATGGGATCACTGCTTCTTCATGCTTAGGTGTTTTGATGACACTGTACATTATTTTAAGGTGCCCTCAAAAACTGATTCAATGGCAACAAGAAAAGTAAGAAGAGATTCACTTTCTGTGCTTCTTGAACAGTCTGACTTGTCTGATGCATAATGTCTCGCGTGTAAAAATGTCTGGTATCTGTCCACTTAGAAATGGCTGGATGCTTTTGAGGCACATTCATCCTATAGCACTCGCCTCTTCACCCAGGAACAGATGATCAATGATGAAAATGGTGAAAGTGGCATGGCAGTGGGGAACCTAACACAAGCCCTTCAGGTAAGATTTAAGTTCAAACCTTTTTAAAGATTCTGGAATATCCTATAGGAAAGTAGTGCTCTTCAGTCTTTTTGTTTCAACTTTGTATTAAAAATCCTTGTTTGTTGTTAGACTGAGCTGTGAGGGCTCCACAGTTCACATGTCTCTTGACCCACACTCCTGCAGGCAGCCAGCGCTTGCCAGCAGAAATTGGAGAGCCAAGTGTCAATATTTCTATCCATGGTGAAGAATGAAGAGAATTTTGGTAAGTGTCCCAGACTTTGTCACATATCAGTGCAGTTAATAGTGTTGATGGCTGTTTAACATTGATCATCAACAGGTTTGAAAATGATTTAAGTTGATCATCAAAAATGAATGTTAAATCTGAGGATTTACTGCTTTTCTTATATTTCATTGTTAATTGAAATCCTTTTGTTTTAGACTGGCAAAGAAGGTATTTGGAGAAATTTTTGCTTTTGTAAAACTAGCAGATTTTTTTATTCTAGTATTTCACATAAAAACTAAATAGATTAATCCTAAAAAGGGTTGATTATGAAAATAATTAATAGTTAGCCTCAGCCATATTTGTGTCTTGTAAGTATGTTTGAGTTAACTGTGTGTCTGTCTGGCCCGTTCTCATCAACACGATTTCTCAGCAATGACTTGAGGAAATTTGTGAGGTGTCCACTTGGACTCAGGAATGAACTGATTAGATTTTGGTGGTCAAAATGAATTTGACCTGTTGGTCGAGGCACACTAATTCCATTGTATAATATTGTATACATTTAAGTTAATGCACATCTGCGTTTGTAATCTTCTTTTCAAAGCAATGACTGCTCCTCTTCTATTGAAAGCCAAAGACACCAGTGAGCTTTCCAGTGAAACTTGTGCTGCCCTCCAGCTGTGCCTTGAACTGCTGTCAAAACAAGAAGAGGTAGGGAAACATGTTCATCATCTTAATTAACCCTGTATCTGTATGTACAGGGTTGGGAAAACTAACGAGCACAATACAATACAGTTACGTTTCTACTATCATAATTCCTCACACATAATTCAATGCAGTTGAAGGGGTAAAACCTTTCCTGGGCGTTATATCAAATTTACAATATACTTAGTGTAGTTGGTTGAATAAATTTAATTTAAGGATTACAAATTCCACCCACCCTCCACTTCTGCCCCTCACTCACCCTCCCACTTTAGTGCATGTGTGTCCCTGTCCACCTGCGCTAGTGGCTGTGCACTTTGAAGGATGGAGGAATAGAAGAGTGTGGTAAACACTAGCATGTTTATAGGAAGGACACAGGCAAGATCTGCTGTTATGCTTCGGTCTGCATTTAGCTCGCAGATCAGTGTAGACACGCACAGGTGTCCTAGGACTTGGATCCTAACGATCCCGCTCTAGGGACATGCTGCGCATTGAACAAAGGAACTCACGCATGTGCGTATTCACAGGCTCAGCTTGAGATGCATGCATTTCACCCTCACACAGGGACAATACACTCTCGCAGGCACACTTCCACATGCCAGCGCATCCGAGCACAAGAGAAAGAAGGGACACTGACGGCATGTTTCTCCAGGATCTGCAAAGGTACAAACCAACTATATGTTTGTATTATCTTCTATGCTTTGTGCTTTTTTTTAATCTTCAGTTGAACAACTAGCTGTGTTTTCAGTGGGCTAGTCTGACTTGGCGTGAGGTGTTTGAAGGGTTTTATTCTTTTCAGTGTTGATATCAAAAGTGTTGGTATAAGCAAAGACTATAGTCCATCCGTCCATACTATAGTACACAGGTCATTTGGATTTAATTATCTGAATTCAGTGTGAAATTGAGCAGGTTTAAAGTGATACTGAATGCTACATTGCTCATTGCATCTTTTTATGAATTTGTCAAAGTAAGAGCATGGAGAAGCACAGATTAATTTGAAATGTGGATTTGGTGATACTTGAAGTTAAGATGAGATATACTTGTGTGTTTAACCATTTTAACACAGTGGTTGTTCTTGAAAGCATGAATGAAGGTTATTTTGTGTTTCTGTGTCTTGTTTTGGCTTTTATAATAGGTTGAAGGTAACAGAATAAATTTGCATCAGATACCGCAAAACTCTGCTTAGGAAGTGTGATATGATATTGCAGTGTGCAACGCTCAAATGCATGTTTACACAGTGATGTGTGCATTGCCAAACAACATTATCTTGGCATGAATTGGCAACAGCTGGTGTTCTGTCACAAGGAGTAATTTGGCATTGTTATCACAGGAAGGCTGAGGATATTCATTGCAATCTAATCATTTAAGAAGCAGTGAAAATGTTAATTTCCAAAAGCCAGATACAATGGAAATGTGTTAACAAGCATGCCACAACTATTGGTCTCATGCAAAGCTGCTGCTACTACATATACTAAATGGATTATATTTACAGGGCTGAGATTGACTGTATCAGGCAGCATTAACTCTAATCCCACATTCCCATCGTCCTGTCACAGATGCCTCTGTTACTGCCACTTGGACATTTGTTGTCTACAGTACATAACATACAGTAGTCACTCGCTGTTGTAAATGTGTTTGGATGTTGTTTGACAGTGATTACAATAGTGCTCTACAGCAGAATAGATGTGATGTAGCCCGCTTAAGATGCTGTTGCAGAACTGAAGTATGCTAGTGAGAGTGTCACATTTATATAGTACACAGAGGACATAGACTGGTTGGCGACTACATGGCATTTCAAGTGAGGAGATTGCTAATTTTGCTTCCTCACAAAACATTAACAAGAAGATTGAGCTGCAAATAAGTCTGGGCTGGCTTCTTGGTGACGTGAACTCACAAAGACAACACAGATTTATAACTCTAACCTTTCTGGGTGTTTCTCAGGCACCAGGATTCTACACCTGTCAAGAAAACAAATGGAGGCTTACAGCAGGAAACCACCTGGTGGTTGTGTGTCTTTAAGCAGATGTGTCGGTTTGAATTGCTTAGAAGGCAGGAAAATAGCAGCACAGCGTCTCTGTATTCTCAGTAGTTATTCATAATGTTGTCTACAGACCATAAGAAAGCAGATTGTTCCTCAAACCCTTGTGTTATTGCAGAGAGCAAAAAAGTACAGTCTGACTTTGATGTCAGACATTGTCATATGGATAACTGACCTGCTGACTGTCATCTGTCACACAGAACAGCAACGTTTTCTTGTTGGCTCTCGCACAGACTTGTATAAAAAAGAGGACGTGTACATCATGTACATTTATCAACTTTATCCTGTTGGATTCTAAGCAGTATTTCTTGTCTTTGATTACTACATTTCTTGGCAGATCTCATCTTATGCTGGAATAAATTAATTTAATTCACCCATTAACTCACCAATCATTAATGTACAGTCTCATATACAGTTACATTTATGACAAAGTATTATAATTAATTCTAGCCAAGGAAGCAAATTTTAGAACAAAATAAAAAGCTATATCCTTGGGGTGTTGGCCAAGGAGAAGCATCCCTCCCAGGCTCCAGCTACAGCACACAGCCTCATCAGAGCTTAAAATAGCCCTGTTTGCACCCAGGCAGGAGAATGCAGTGTGAGATAAAGAGCTGGCTGGGACAGTTACACAACAATGTGTTCTGTTACTGGATTGGAAGTGCATCAGAGCTCATCTGTGATCAGATTTGTAGTTAGAGCACAATATGACGGTGCTGAATTTTCAATGATTAAATTCAATTTAAGTGTTTTTCTTAGCATTAACTAACCAGTTAATCTCCTCAAAAATAAGACCTTTTGTGTCTATATGGAAAAAAATATCTTACAGTTGGAGGGAAACCCATAGATACAGTACTTCTGCATTTCTCAAATAAGAATTGAACATTACTGAACAGACTCAACATTCACACTGGTGCTCTATTTCCACACACAACATAACCCAGAAGGGCTGAGCATATGGTATAGGTATACCAATTATAATGACAGCAAGCGTGAACGTGTTAAGTCTATCCTTGACTGTAGGTGCTTTGTGTGAAAGGAGCTGTTCAAGAGCTTCTTTTACAGCTACAGCAAAAAATTTGAGTAAAGCACTGTCCATATTTATGAAGTAGTTTTTCTGTTTTGTGTTAAATAATCATGGATAAGTTGAGTATGAGTGAGGGTTTTTAATTGTAATACACAGTTACTGTAAGTATGCAGTAAGTTATCTGAGCATTCCTGTGGAAGAACAGTGTTTTTGTTAGATGATGTTATGACTTATCTCTTGGCTTTGCAGTGGGTTTCAGGCTGTGCTGGGCCCTGTAAAAAATTTTAAAAAATTTCTAACCCACAGTATAGTACCTTTTTAAACTGATCTAATATACTGTACTTTTAAGCTGTATTGAACTCCTACCGTCACCCAAGCAAGTAGTAGATACACTGTAAGTGCTTGCGGTTTCTCCCTCTGAACTAGTGCACCTTTAAAGCATTGCTGAATCCTGTCCTCACACAGGTAAAGAGCAGGCTCTTGGCAGCATGACCCAGTCTTATATCTGTATTATGTTTGTTCAGGTTAAACTACAACGGTGAGCCTAACTGGCTCTTTGGGCAACTTCATCTGAGAGGTAGGTCCTCTCAGTTGTCCAGCCAATTACTGTATAATTCCACTAATCTCACTTATTGTATAGCCACTACCTACTGTAGCAACCCCTCTGTGTGAAATGTGGCCCTTAATCTGTGTTATCAACCAAAGTAACCTGGTGTCAAAACAAGTTTGTGTGGGAGTGTAGGCAAGTTTACAAGGTTAATAGATGGGCACCCCCTCAGTGTGTGGTGTTTCATTACATTGTGCCCATGACTCCCAGAAGCACATAACACCGTTATTTGTAACAGAGCACGAAAGAAAATAGGTCTGCATTATGTATTTCCATAGCGACATAATAAACCATTAGCTGGTTTTAGGGGTGCTCCAGTTGACCATTTGTTGACTGGAATCAGTATACTGTATATTCATTAAAAATGGCTGGATTGGCAGCCTTGAAGCTTGCTGATCAGAAAAGGCTCAGTGAGTAAGTAAATGTGTCACTCAGCATTTTCACTGCCTCATCAATCTTCTCTCTGCCACAGAGACATGTGGAGCAATTTATGTTCCCAGAAAAGAAGTTTGAGCTGGTGACTGCAACTGGGCAGTCTGATTCTTTATTTATATACTGTGTGTTTATATATGTCTTTAGGGTTGTACGAGCTTTTGTCAAAAAAAAAAACACTGTTGGGGAAAAAACTATTTTTATACATCTTTAAGTGTCTTTAAAGGCTCTATATTAAAATGTTAATGGGAATATAACAATGAAATTCTCAACTTTCAGTTTCACAGTCTTTTTTTTTTTTTTTTTTTTTTACATTGTTGATCACATAAAATCTCCTTGGTGATCACTGGAACATTTTGTGTGCGTGCATGGCTGTGCACACCGCTGGTAATACTCCAGACAGCATAAAAATCTTTTGCCTTTAACAGGAGACAGTGGCCTTCCTTTGCAGTCTGATTTACAGTATGATTTTAAGCTCCTGTTTCTCTCTGGCTCCACTGCCGCCTTCATGGTGACTCCTGGAGTCTCTTTTTTTGAAAATTCAGAGACTCTGTTCCTTTTTTTTTTTTTATAATCTGTGCTCCTCTGATGCTTTTTTCATGTGCTACTTGGGTCATTAATTTTGTAAACTCAATTGTCCTTTTAAACACACACGTGTTATACATATTGTCTTATTCCTTATTTTTTGTAGCAACAGTGGATCTTTGTTTAGTTATGTTTTCTTTTTAGTTAGTAACAGATAAACAGCAGTGTTGGACGTTAGAAAATGATCATCTGCTCTGTCCCACACCAACCATGACTCGGGTTGCTCTGGAGGGACACTCAATCCTAGGCTACAGAGCTCTTGGACACTGGGGTGTTTGGTTCCAACTATAAGAAATCAGATCTGTGGGCAGGGTTAGAACAATGATTTGTCATCACAACTGTAGTTAGAGAAGCAGCTCAATACCTTTTATATTAATCAAACAATTAGTCAATCACATAATTGTCACCAACACTGTACACATGCACCAGAGTAGTTGGATCATTATCTGTGAGCAGTTTTTCCTTTTACTTGACTCTGTTTTGTTCCTGTGCATTGTCTGTCTGGTGGACCTGTGATTGCAGGTGTGGAGCATAAAGTTAGAGCAAGAGGTAGAGAAGAACAAGGCTCTGACAGAGGCTCTGCAGACGCTGGCCACTGAGTACCACGAGCTCAAGCAGTCCCTGTATAAGAGCAGGAGATCGTCTACCCTCAGTACCCTCACTGAAGATGACTTCTTTGATGCTCTGTCAGGTCAGTAGCCCCTAGGTGTACGGTTAGTGAAGTTGTCAAGGTATGCAAGACCAGTACATCTTGGCTAGGTGATAAACAAGACAAATTAACTATTGTCTTCTTTACTACTACATTGTTAATTTATTCCTCTCACTGCAGAGCTTTCCTTAAAGGTATCATGTGGTGTTTTTGACCTACTAGCACTGTAGGGCAAATTGCAAA